CCCCAAAACCCCAAAACCCCAAAACCCCAATGATTGCAATTTTTATAGCTTTTGGAAATTAAGAAATATCGCATTAGAAAAATCTTAGCAATTACACTACTTAGAATTAAATCAAAAACAGACATTTCTTCCATTATAAATCTTCAACTTATTCCCGTCAGAACTTATTTTCCCTATTTCATAATTTTTGATCAAGCTAGCCATATTTTCAATCTAATTTTTAATCCTAGCATACTCAAAATATTAGAATGGTTTAAAAGTCAATAAAAAGTCTATCATGAGATACTAAACTAATTTGAGATTTGTTTCATCACAGAAAACATAGTCAATTGAGCATTCAAGAAGCTTTGAAAACTAGTTTGTAGTAATTTGAATGCCTTTTTTATTCAAAAATTTGTCATACCACATAAATTTTACTCGATCATTCTGAGATTTTATAAGTAGGTTTTCATAGTTGATATTTTAATAATCCTTAAGTGAAATTGAAATCATTCTACTGTCACCTACATTTAATTCACCGTGCTTCATTATTTACTCAATAACTTTGTATCTATCAATTTAATAAGCTGATTTTTCCATAAGATACGCAAAAAATATTTTTCTCAGGAGCATTGAAGCCTCTAATCTGAAATCCATAGAAAAAAGTACAACATCTAAATTGCGCTACTGATCTTCATCTATCAAAACAGAAGTATCTAGCTTGTTCTCGTTTTAATCAATTATGTCCATATCTGAAAAAATTACATTCAAACCTTCAGTCTTAATGTATAATACTGATTAACCTTGTCATTTAACTGATCTAAAATGGGATTCTGTTTTTAATACTAGTTGTTTTAGCATGATAAAGTAGAATAAACTCCCCATTTACTAAATGAAAGAATTGCTGAAGAATTAGGGCGAAGTCATCAATATCTTCGTGTTAAATATACTAAACTTTTTAATGCTTCTCAAACTTTTTGTTTTAATCATTTATTTCGCTCTTATGATTTACTGCTGCTAGTATTTCAACATCATGGTAATTCTAACTTAAGATATTATTTATGGCTCTCTCTAGATCACTTCTGGTACTCTCTCCATATATTAGAACTGTGACTGAATCCTGTCTAAATTTATCAATAGCCATAAATTGTTATGAACTAAAACTAAAAAGTCCAAGATATTAGAGAAGCAATGCTAGGCATACTTAAAAGTACTACATTTATTTGATTTTACCTTTTGAATTAATATTTGATAAATATCATTCATATCTGTAAACCTAGATCGCATGGGGTTTTGGGGTTTTGGGGTTTTGGGG